TGATGCTTATACAATTCTTAGTAATTAAAGAAGTTTCAGAGAGTGTGTTTGAAAGAGAAAAAAAGAAATTTTTGTCATCTAAAATAGAAGTTTATTATATGGAATATTAAAGTCAGTTGTTCTTAGTTGATGACGCAATTGGCGAAAAGCTTTGTGGTCTTTGATGAAATTTCTTCATCTATACTTTCAACACACTGACCAGCTGTCTATCTAGTGTTTTACCGCCATCTGTGGGATCTCTTTTTATCGTCGCAGTAGTTATGACAGTATTTTTGATAAATATATAGATTTGAGAAGTAAAAAAGAGATAACAAGAGAATCCAAAATGAGTATGTGCGAGTGCGAGTATGTCTATGTGTGCATGTGTATCTGTGTGTGTGTGTTTGGAACTTTCAATCACATTTTTCTGGTCTGTTGGACATGAGACTGTTTTTCATTCAAATCAAACAAAGGTTTGAGGATGAAAGCTTGTTTGTGTTCCGGGAAAACCTCTAAGAAGTTGCGAGATTTGTAAGCTTATTTTTCAGTTTCAAAATCGAAAAAGGAAGGAAATTGTACGATGTGGATGAACATTCGGAAGAATAGCAAGTGGTCATTCATTACGAACAATCAGTTGTACAACAAAAATAAGAAGATAATATCTTGCAAAAAAGCCTTTATCCTGATTAAAAATCACTTGAAGAAGGATTGAGACAAGATGTGAACAAGATCTAAGGTGGATGAAGTAGTAATGAGATATAGAGAAAGAGAGAAAAAAGAGAGAGAGAGGTGGAATGAAAGTAATCGTGGCGGTTGGATATAAAGAACTTCAGAAGGCTGCAAAGAGATTGAGGAAGAAAAAAAAAGGAAAAAGGTTTTTCAGGAAAAAAAAGTTTTCCAAGTTCAAAAGCTTTTGAAATAAGTGGAAATGGGGTAATGAAGTAGCTTGAAAGGGGGGGGGGGGAGACTTTCCGTCACGTACGTGAAGTTGACAAGTCGCACTATGTTTTATGTTTTCAATTAAGAACAAGAGAATGAAGGAGAATGGAAGCATTTTCAGAGAATTTATAGTTCAAGCAATGAAAACTCGAAAAGAATTTGAGTAATTTATTAAGAATGGAGTCGTAATATTTGAATGTAATGAGTAAAAGCTGATTCTAAGGTGACTGGTTATTTGCCCTAGGGGCAAACACATTTGTTTCGTTCATTTCAAAGCATCTCTCTAGTTCTCTTTCTCTCTATCACACACCACTCATTTCTATTTTACAAGCAATATTTTTTCGTTAAATCAGATGTCCTGACTTTATATGTTGATGATTCAATGATATCAGAGATGAAAGGAGGGGTGCTGATGAGATTGGAGAGATCTAAGAGATTAACTGTCTTTGAATGAAGAAAAATAATGAATCAGCTGTAACTTCTGTGCTGAGCAAAACATTCCCAAAGTATTATTCGCTATAATTCGACCTGCACGAAAGGAAAAAAATCTTTTTTTATTCGTTGTTGTTGTGAAATGAATAAGTATGAAATCTGATATAGTTTCCATGCTTACAGATCGGCACTCACATGCGTGTAATAATAATGGAAAAAGAAAAAAACGAAAAATTTACATATTGGGCTACGTGACCTGTCACGCAACAATTTATTTTTTTGAAGTTCAATGGTGTTGAGCGGTTGCATTCGCCTGTACTCTTAAAGGTTGAAGGGCTCAAGAAATATTGACGTTGTTTTTGAAGGATTGATGAAGAAGCAAAAAAATATAAGAACTCGAATAGTTCCCATACGATTTGTTGCAGAAGAGAGAGTAAGACAGAGAGAGAGGAAGAAAGTGAGATACGGGGGCTGTACTTCAAAGAGAAATTGAATGATCTTGTTGAGAAAGAAAACATGTAAATCTTCGGAACAATGTTGAGAAAGACAAAACGTAGGAAAGTCTGATGCGAAAAGGAAATCTGATGACTTTTCCTTTTAAGGAGAACGACAGAAAAGCTCTTTTATACAAGTTGTCACATGTTAAACGGGCTAAGGTGGAGGGATATGATAAAAGCTCATATTGTCTTTGCCATATTGGAACATGACGCGGAACTTCTGACGGAACAATTCATATTTTTCACAGCTTTGTTCTGCGACCTTATGAACATCCGGTTGATTTTGTGTGCATTTGTCGTTAACAAGCTTATAGGACAAATTGCTTCTGGAAACACCTGATGCCATCGTGACTTGTTGAATGGGTGTCTTCTGCTACAACTATAGTCAATTGTGAGAAAAATGAAATGAACAAAAAAAATGAAATTCGTTTTGAGTATTGAGGAAGGCAGAATAACGATGAATGAGATCTCTAACTACATCTCCAACAAACGAAGAACACTGTCGTTTACATAAAAACAGAACATTTCGCTTCATATCATCTCGCACATCCAAAAGATTTACTTTTCTAACAGATGGATCTTTTATATCTTCTTCTTCTCTTGAGAAATAACAAGAAAATCATAAATTTACAACAACTAGTGAGGAAAACATAGAAACGATTTGTAAAGCTACAGCTCTTTTCATTTGGCCCTCCGCTCTCTCTCTCTCCCTCTCAATATATCTCTTTTTCTCTCTTAAACTCCCTCTCTCTCTCTCTGTCTGTTGTTATCCTTTTAAAGATTGAAACAGGTGAATCGGCAAAACGAAAATGTAATAATTCAATCCATTTCATAAACAATTCGAAAAGTACATCAGTTTGAGTCATCTTGTTGAAGTTCATACGTCGCCCCCACCGTCTCTTCATCAAAAAAACTGGGAATGGGTGGAATTTTTGATATTCTTAGATAATAGATAATGAATAAAATAGAAGACAAGACAAGGGTAGGTTTTGTTCGGAATCTCGACATGGCTTTACAGCTCAATTCAAGTGAATCAAATAAAGAATTCTGAATAATTGACGATCGCGAATAATGTCAGAAAATCTTCTTCTTCTTTTTTTTTTCTTCAATATTCATTGAAAGAGAGAGTGAGAAAGGAAGTTGGTGATGGAGTGAATGAGAGAACCTTATGCAGAATATCTTCAAGTAGGATAACAAACGAAAATGTTTTTGTATGAAAACTGGAGTTCTGTTAGGAGAGATACAAAAACTTGTAAGCTGTACGCCCAGTAAGAGGACAATACAAAAAACATTTTTGTCCAATAGGCAAGTATACAATAGAGTTTGTGCAATGCTGATAGGGTCTGATCAACAGATGAATAACGGATCTCTTCAGAATAATGGTAAATGATCTGTTCGCTCAAGCTTTTTTTGGCTCTTTTGCATTATCCCCCCCCCCCCCAATCTTCACTCCGCCCCTTTTATCGAAATGCACATCGTTTACTAAATGAGGTTAGAACTACCTTACTAAACTGGGGGGTCTGGGGAGGGATCTTTCCAGTACCGGAAGCTAAGCTTCACCTAATTTAAAAAGAAAAAAATAACGCATAAGAGCTGTTTTTTTTATTTTGATTGTTTATCAGACAGGCTTTTACACTTTTTCTTTTCAGAAAAAAAAATTATTTTCGGTCTTTGAACGTTGAAACCTCTTTTACGCAGTCTGAAACCAGGTATTTGGAATTCATAAAGAGTTACATGAAAATGTAACTATAACTTATTATTTAACTGATTATATGAAGTAGACGGGATCGAGAATGTGTTTTTCACTCAATAGAAGGGTATTGAAAGGTAGTTGTACAAAAAGAGTGAGAAAGAGAATGAGAGAGAGAGAAAGATGTGAGTGCGGTTTGGAAGAAGGAAAGAGACGAATACAGAATTGGTATAAGGATTTGTTAAAGAATAAACTGTAAGTAGACAACCTCGTTCGTTTCAAAGCTTCAGCTCAGGTGTCTGATTTCTCAATCAGATCACTGATGAATATCTCATGAGAAAGCAAATATCATTTGAAAATTGGTTATTCCGGAGCAAATCTGTAATGCGAACGTTACAGCTGATCCAAGTAAGCTTTCCTTCGTTTTGCAGCAGTTAAGTGTGAAAAACTTTGTTAGTTATCGAAAATAAAAAGAATAGATGATGAAAGCTCTCTCTCTCTCTCTCTCTCTCTAGGTGTTCATGTCATTCCCTCTCATTCGTACTCTCTGTCTCTTTTGTTTCATTTTATTGGACGAACAATAAGGTGCAACAATCTGAGATAAGTCGACTCCATTTGCTCAGACCTCCTCATCTTCAGCACTATACTATTACACAATCGTCTAATGTTTATCATGCAAAACAGAAATAAAAGTGAGAAGTCAATACGAAAAACACTTTTACTAGTTTACTGATGGATTTCTAATGAAAACGAAACACAAATGAACTAACGCTTTGTGTTCTTGCCCACCTTTCGTATTTGTCTCTGCTAATCACACTAACATCATTCGTCCTTTCCAATATTTACAACAATCCTAGCAACAAGTTCGTTCATAATATAGAAGTACACAAAAGATACAAATCATCGAAAGAATTTAAGACTTCAGAATCGTCTCAATAACAAGTTCAACTGCATCACGGAATGCCATTAAATGACCAGATGAGCTTTAGTTCAATGAAGTGATTTCGTTATAACTCATTTACTCCAATTGCTATAATCCGCTTAATTTCCTGACATCTATGACGCAACCACTGTTTCAACATGCCATTTCCTTTTTCAGCTTTTTAAGCTATAGAGAATCCAAGTTTTCCTTGTGAATCGTAGAACAACTATCTACAGATAGAAAAATTACCAGAATGATGTGAAGTATTATGGTTATCTTCATTCTGCCAGTGAATTCAATCACAATCGAGTAGTTTCAAATCGCTGATCGAGTGTCTCAGGTTGTGGAAATTTAAATTATGCCGAATGAGTTTTCTATTCGAAATGGCAAACCATTAGAATACTGTGATGAGTGAATTAGTTAGGCTTCATATGATACAGTCGATATCTTAAATCGTTAAATAGGATGTACTCACAACGTACTAGGAGGACAAGGTTTTTAGAGTTTTATTTGCACTTGACAAGAAGGGGAGCAATAATTATCAATCAGTATAGCCCAAATGTTTCAGTTTATCTTCCAGTATGTCGATCAACGCTTTTACATCTTCGGAAGATTTCTCGACAACTGAATTCAATAAAACTATTTACTCATTCGATTATATTAGCTTACCTGTCACGTTTTGCTGGATTTTTTTGACACCTTGTTTCTGGACATCACAAAGCATGGACAACTTCATGCATGATCCTAGCCTCTGTAGACAAACGTCTCTGTCGATGTCATCATTTATGAGAGTGTCAGCAACAAAAATGCCTCCAAGGGTCGACAAAAACTTCCTGAAGTATTTTGATTACAATAAATCTTTTTTTTCTAACCTGATTAAAGTTTTGCTTCTCAAAAACACGTTATTGAGAATGATTTGAATTGCACGCGGCACTTCGTATTCTTCATTCCTAGGATCAATGACATCTTGAATCTTCAAAGAATTTCCAAAGAGTCAACCACGAAAAAACTGAGATTTACCTCTTCCACCTCCTCGACTAAATGGTTTAACATGAGTACAGCTACACGATTTATAACCCTTAAACTTGAATTTATAACCGAACTTCCAGCTACAAAACCTTTCAACATAGTTATCCGTACATTCCGTACAGTCTAAGATAGTTTTCCAGATTTGACCGTATGCTTCGCCGATCTCTGAAAGAAAGTCTAAAGAGCGACTAACGATTCATACGATACTTTTATCATCCATTTCCTCTTCACTCTCTTCTACACTGCGAGCAATGATCCACCTTGGTAGAAACTCAAAAACAACCGAGAGCTCATTAAAACTGCCTTCTTTCTGAAAAAACATGCTTCAATCTCCTGAAAAATGAGAAAGAAAAACCATTTCAAGAATTAGTTTTGTTGCTTGAATAACTGGGCAAATAAGAGTGGAAGGAGTGCTCTTGGAGCAGAAATCAGTTACTGTCCTGAATAAGTTCATAGTAGAATGCTTGAAATGTTTGGAAATTCCTACTTGATTGCCAAATCGAAGAAATCAATTGAGTTCGGTTGTGAGAACTCATCAGACTCGTCTGCTCTGATGAAAGACGGCGCTTGAGAATACGATGGAGTTTTTGTGAAGTCCCAGGACATCATAAGCAGACCAATATGTCTTAACACTGCCTAAATTGAAATTTCATAAAGTTCTCATCTTGTAACCCACTTCACTAAGTGAAAGAATCAATTCCAATCTGATATCGTTGGCGAAAAGAGGAATTTTAGCTAATACATCAGTATTAAACCATTGTAGAGTGGTGCACAGTTCACGAGTAATGAGAACTACTTTGTCAACTTCATCTTTCTGCAAAGAAAATACTAGTTCGAAGGCATTTACATAGCTCAATAACCTGGCAGTTAAGAAGTACAGATGCAAGAGTGAACTTAGTGGTCAATGCATCAACCAAACTTTCATCTGGGATTTGAACATCTGAACTGAAACTCAGTCGACGGTCAATTACGTTGCGGACGACATTCAGTTGCTGGAATGAAAGTTTATATAATTGCAATTATTGGTCAACTAACTTTGAAGAAAGACTCCAACTCGTCCATATGTGTATGAGTCATTAGTTGATGAGTACTGTAACTTCGCATAAGATACTTCAAGTATGTTAGTCCTTTGCGGAGGTTATCGTTTGGTGTAAGCTTGAATAGATTTTTACCATTGCCTTTACATCAACACAAACTTTTGAAGTAGCTTTAGACTTCTTCTTAGCAGGTGACTTCGTCACAGAATTATTGTTCAGCACTTCTAAGCCGGAACGAATGATATCGGAGAGATAGTCCATATTCCATTGAGCTGTGGCTTCCAAGTATGGCTCCAAGATGCATTCGTCAACAGCCTTCAAATTGCTTAATATAGTCACTGAATAGCTGTTTGAAAGATCGAGCTGAGGCGATTCACACACCCTCCACCCTCCACAAACAGAAAACAAAAAAACTGTTTATACGCTTACCTTCTCGTTTAACAAACTCAACACAGAAGAAGTAACTCCATCTAGTTGCTTTTGTGGGAGAATACTGCCCAACACCATTGTCGTACCGATAAGAGAAGTCATCTAAATGGAAGATATATCGAAAAAATCCGTTGAGAGATATTACTCTGAAGCACTTGAACATCTTCTCAAACATTTTTTTACCCAAGTTTTCCAATTTCATTTTTGAGGCAGTGTTTTCTACATCGAGTAAAGCCTGGAAGAAAGATACAGTATGGTAACAAAGAAAAATCAAAAACCTTTCGAATACTCATCCACATAACTACAGTACATTCCAACATAATCTTCAATCGTTGCCATTCAGGACTGTTTTCATCTCAAAATGTAAGTTGTTTCAGTACAAAACATTATTCTAACCTCCAGCTGATAACTCCATTGTAGGACCGCTCAATGTTCCTACAGTATCATTGAGGCTCAAGGTGCCAGACATGCTAACATCTTTGCCAACGCCAATGTTGGCGGATCTATAGACAGCGATAGAAATGAAGGTGATATGTTCGACTAAAAAGAGGAACATTATAAATGATTAACGCAAATTCGGAAAACCTGATTCTTCAACAGAAAGAAGATTCAACTCATACAACAAACGGTGGAAAGTTAAAGCAGCTACTCTACCGTGCTTGATGAGAATACCAACTCTTCGAAGCTTCTCGTTCTGATCAACATCAGAAGGATAGAACGACTGTAAAAAAACAGTTTAACTCCCTACCCACATTTTCAAACAAACTCTGAATAGGAGAGGGACAATTTCTTTTCTTACAGCCTCCGATGTTTCTACTTCGAGGCGAGCCAAGATATGCTCCATTGGTACTATATCGAAAAACTGAAATTGAGATGTCTGACTTAGTAATTAACCTGTTTATACCTTAATGAATCTGTGGCCTTTGAGTTGTCGCAACAGTTTGAAGGATCGAATACGAACACGATCGTTTTTGTCATCAATACCACAAGGAATCAAACATTTCAAAGCATGTTCTGTAGCATTCAAACAGAGAGATACAGGAAGCATATAAGACATTCCTTCGAAAACTGCTAAGCGAGTACCAATATCACTATCTTTGCTCAAATCATCACAGATCTATACAACCATGAGAATGGTACGAATACAGACAAGTTCAACTTACAAGCGACAAATACTCTCTCTTTCTGATAGAGGGGATAAAGTTCCAGAACAAACTGAGTATTTTGAGCATCTGAAGTGAAAAACAATAAGGAGTTGGGAGAATGAAAACTGTACTCTTCGAATAGTCTCTCGTCTTATCATGACGCAAGGGTCTTGCAGTAAGCTTAAGAAGGTTACATGCTGTAAGTCAATCATTTCTTCTCTCTCATCATCAGCAGAGACTATAGGATAGAAGTCCAGAAGCATAAGAGCCGCATTATATCTAACTTTATCGTTGACAGCCTAAAGGATCATAGAAAGATTACCCTTGTAGTAACAAATACCTTCAAATCTCTCCAAAGAACAGGTTGCAAGCATTTGTAAAGCATCGTATCCATCTTCGCTTTGTCTGTTTTACTCGAAATGAAAAACGACAAAATCTTGAAGTAATATTATGCAAGTTATTTTTGAGGAAAGACGTACCTGCTGGAATTTAGTTGCCCATGGATCACCGGATTCCAGGGCCGCAAAAGCAGCTGCAGTTATCATTTCTATCTGAAATACAGAAGAGCTGAGAACAAAATATTCAAAGAAAACCTCAATATCTTCTCTAAGGTCTTCATCCTCATCTTTGACTGATTTCTTCCAAGCCAAACAAATTATTTCTCCATAATGGGTACAAGCAGCACTAAATGGAAGGAAGTTCGGAAAACTATCTGAGCAAATTCACTTGGAAGCTCCTTGGAGAACTACTTTCTTGATCAAATTGAAAGCTTCTCTTGGTTTGATCTTCGATATCGAAAGAGCACATATCTTACGTCCTGGAATTTATTTATGATGGATGTAATCAAAGAATGTCAAACCTTCAAGAACAGATATAAAACTTTCATTCCATAAAGCTTTTCTCAAAAGATTCACGTCACACTTCTCTATTAATTGATAATGTTGAGCATACAGTGTTTTCATAAGTGTTTTCTGAATGGTCGACAGTGTTTTGATAAAAATTCGCGAATACCCACATTTCCTTTAACACCTGAAATAACCTTTTCCAGAACAGCTGGGAAATCTTCAATAACCAAGACAGGCTTTTCATTTTTTGAAGATTTTATTTCGCTTTTAGCTACAACTGCTTCCTTAACTGGCTTCTGAAATCTTCTTTAATACAGGTCGGAGAATTAAGCCTGCTTACCTTTTTGGGAGCAGGAGGCTTCTTTACACCACAAGATTTCGGTTTCTGATTCTCTTTGTCTACATTTGATCTAGTGGCCATGTTTATAATTTGAGAGCAGTTAAACAGTAATTTAAAGATACAGCTTTGTTTGAATATTTATTGTTCGCGGTGACCGCTTTCTTGCGTACAACGGTTTTTTGCGTACTTTTTGAAGTGAAAATTAGCCACTTCTCTATTGTTATAACCAACACAAAGAGAGTGTATGTGAAATCTTATAATTGTAAATCATGCCAAGTGTTTAATTAGTTGTCCGAGGTTGTTGCCTGATAGACCTTCCACTTTCTTGTTTCCTTGTAAACTGCGTGCTGATGAGGTAACTGCTGTTTCGTCTGATTGTTATGAACCTCGTTTCCTTTGCATGGTTGATGCCTTTCGATTGATCATTCTCCGAGGAAACTTATATTTACCTCGAATCATTTTTTATGCTATTCTCCCATTCGTAAGGTTAAGATATTAGCTCGAAAGTAGAACCATCGGTGAACCCACCTATCTCTCCCAATCGACCAGTATTCACGAGTAAGTTTTCTGCCATGTTCTGGTTCTAACTCTGCCTGTGTTTCTCAGTTGAAAAGTTATTCTAATAAACTGTTGCTATTGATGATTCGCTGAATAATCGAAAATCGATATTATTATTTTCTAATAGACAGGATGAAGTGCTAGAATAGAATGAGTTTTTGCATCCATCATGAGTTATCCCGACATCTGCCAAGACTTCCGATTTGGGAAGAGCGAGGAATGATGGTTACAAAACAGTTTTCTTCTTCTTCATCTCTATTGATTTCTATTTTCATTATTATGCTTCAAAATCTCATAACTCTCTAATGAGATATTCAAACTCATGCATATGCTATAGACCTGAAGTCAAACATCATCAGCACGTACTACCACGCTTAGCAGAATCATACCTATGAAAATCACTATTCGCTTTTCGATTCTGTTTTTTGTTCACGAAATGTTAAGATAGTTTCTATCATTGAAAAGCTCTCATTTCATCGTCATTCATACACATTGTGCCAAGGTCTAAGCTTGAAAATATTGATCAACAGACCTCCCCCGCAAACTATGGCTCAAAAATTATTTATTTTGATGTAGAGCTGTGACGATTACGGGAAATTTTTCGAAAAGAAGTCCCTGGTGGCTTTCATATGTAAACGATTTTTGCTAAATAGACAAAGCAGCGTAAATATTCTGAAAAATCATTAACCAAATTCCTTTTTCGGTTTCCGCGTCCTAGAAACTGAGAAGATTTATTCATTTTAGATTTTCAGTTGCGATGAGCGGTTGTATATAAGCTTTCGCGCTCAAATATCCTTAAGTGTCTTCTTTGTGTCTTGTCTCTCTCTCATTATCATTTTTAATTACATTTGAATCATCAAAAAATTGTGAGCGAATGTTTTGGTGTCAAATATTACATGCAGATTAGTGAAACAGGAATGTGTTTGATAAGTTATGTTATCATTATCATCATTCAGGTTCAGGGAATAATTAATTTTTCATTTGATTTTTTAAGGACGGACTATGATTGCCAGCCGTTTGTTTGCTTTTCAGAGATTACGTATACCAAACAAACCAAATTGTATGAAAAACCTAGAATGAAAATGAATAGTTAATCTTTCCGTTTGCTATTTTCAAGCAATCTATATATTTACTCCACAAATAGTTTTAAAACATTGATAAAACTTTTATTTTCTTTTGAAATACGCAACTTGTGTGGATTTGTTAGTGGTAAGGGGAGAAAGTTTATTTCACCCTGCTCTTTAGGATGAGAAAGTGAAATAAGAAGCAAACACAACCGCTCTGAACGCCAACTAATGTGAAAGTGACTGGTTTTCTGTTTCAATTCTGGCCGGAAATGCTAATTTCCGTCTATTTCGTAACGGTAAATTGCGTATTTAGAAAATTCGAATCAAATAAGTTTCCGAAAATTGTCTTGAAGTTTCAAAAAAGCTTGTTTTCCGCCATATTTCCAAAATGTCAAGAAAGGTATTATTTCTATTCTACTCTCTATAACTCTTCTGTCGTTTTGTCTGATCAATCAACTATTTCAACACGTGTTTCATTGAGTGCTATAAAATTGTCGATTCGTCCTTCCTTCCGCAGAATGGCAGTTGCAAAGCATTATTTTTTAAACTTTGTTTGCTTTCCCACCCTATTTTTTATCGAATTTCGTTAGAACATCTAATGAAACATAAGATTATAACGTCAAAATGTACTTATTCTGACATGCTACAATGTTTTAAGTTATTTCAAACAGTTTTTTTCCCGAGCCTTCTTCAAATACTTGAACTGTGTGTCCACATTGTCAACACTATATCGCCAATTAACAAGTTTCAACAGTTTATTCCTATTCTTCACTTAATTTCTTTATAAAGTTTCTTTCTTTCCAATTCAAGCCTCCTTCAGGACCAATGATTATACCGTTAATCCCTATCTATCTGGTTACTTTGACTGTTGGTATTTCAACTGCATGTCTACTAACCTTATATTTCCCAATATGGGCTTGTATTCCCGCTCTGACGACTTACGGAAAGACTACATGGATGTTGAAGGACCAATCAAAACTTGTACAAATGATAGCTGTTCCTAAAAGGTAAATCCATTTTTTTTTGTATTTATAGTGTTTTCTTAGATGGTTCTCTCACTTCTATCAATTTGGAGTCCTATGTACATTCTCTGCTATCATGCTGTGTCTCTCTTTATCCTATTCTTGTGTAAGTTTGTAATTTTTGAATTCTGAGAAACGAAGTTTTGTCTTCAGTACAGCCCACCAAGTGTTTTATCGAAGTATCTGAAGATGCTAACTCCTGTGAGGGCTCATTGTAAGTTCTTTGTTTCGTTTTTCTCGGTAACCTGGCATTCTTTCAGTCGATTGGACAACTACTATTACCACTCTCTGTCTGATGCTTTTCCACGTATATCGAAGGTTTACCTGTGCAAAGACAAGTCTTACCCCTAACCACACAGATTCTATGAAACATTGGCCATTTCTGTATACTCTGATTCCACCATGAACATCGCCCATTACTTAACTGGTCTCATTCATTACCTCATCTTGCCTCTTACTGTTTGTTGCGAGTCTATAGGTCTAACCACTCTGAAGCGTGAGTAAGCTTTTTGTTTTGATTAATTTTGTTCGTTTCAGCTGGAACTTTTGACATTCATACGTTAACGTATTACCAATGGTTTGGAATCCTCGCATTCTTCTACAGTAACATTCAACAGCATCTGATTGTTCGAACGATGGCTTCTCTCAGAAAGACGTCGTCAGGTAATATACGGCAAATATGCGAAACCAACTACAACATCTTCAGGTCTCACGTCTCATCATAATCATGGATTATTGTTCGGTGGCTGGTTTAATCTGGTCTCATGCCCTCATTTCTTCTTCGAAGTCTTAATATATTTATCCTTATGGATTGTTTTACAAGGTGGATTTGCTTATAAGGTAATCGTTTTGTCAACTGTTAAGCTGTTAAACAAATTTTTACAGTTTCTGGTCTTCTTTGTTATTCTCAACCAAATGTTCGCAGCTTTAATTAATCACCGATGGTACCAAACAAAGTTTCCAGATAAAATGCCTCCTCAGAGAAAAGCACTCATACCTTACATCTTATAGCTTTATACTTTTTCTCTTTTTTTTCGAAATCAAAGTCGGTTCGAAGGTGTTTCTAAACGTTTCAAGTTTATATCTCAGGTTCTATATAGATATCTTCAGCTTTAAAGAAAATAAATTTGAAGTCTAAACATCTTTACTTGCGTTGATTACAGTACAACTAATCTGATGGTACAGAGAGGAAGACCTTGTCTTCATGAAAAACGTGTTATCTATTGTTCCTAATTATTGCACAGCAGGCTCGTTCTGCGAGGATTCCTTTAATTCACAGTTTCCTTTGGTGGCTAATATCAACTTGTACAGTTCCATAATCTTTTCCAATTTGTATTCCGCCTCATCAAAGACACTTTCCGCCACTACTTCGATCTCCATTGTAGCCAAACGATTTCTTAACTTAATGTGAAATCATTTACATTCAAATGAGAGTTGAAATATACCTTTGCACATTCATTAATATAATCAGAAACAATTGGCACTCTGCTGATGTCAATACTACGATTTGAAACAGATGTGTTTCGAGAGGCGAGAGTTGGACATTCTTCTAATTCAGTTTTGTTTGTTTCTTCCAACATTGAGATTTCCTGAAAATACCTAATTCACTATGAAATTTCAACTTCACCCACAGAGGTATCTCCTGCAGCTAATTTCCGAACTTTCTCGAAGGCGGCACTGTTCGAACATCCGTAGGTTTTCTGGTGTTCTCTCAATGCCGGGGCTGAGGTATATACGGCCGGACAGGATGAGCATTCAAACAGTTTCTTTCCTTCGTATTTCTTCCTTCTTAGTTGCATTTTGAACACATCGATTTGTTCTTCGTTCCAACCATGCGATCTTCTCATATGTCGAAAAATATTAACGGCTTTCATTGATATGTCGCACAACGGGCAAGATCTTTGAGGCTGTTCGGTTATTGGCTTATTCGCTCTGCTGCTGTTGAAAGATGTTCCTTTTTTAACAGCGACAAGTTCAGGACCGTAAGCAGATGAAACATCACTCCCTCTTCCGAATAAAGAGCCTGATCGAATTGAATCGTTCAACGTTGTGTCACAATCAGGCAAAGAAAATCGTGTAATGTTTGAGTACCCGCTAATATCCGAAGCTAGGAGTTGGGCACTTTCACAATCCGAAAGAGTCTCATTCATAAAGAGTACACTTCCTGATGAAACTGAATCAAAAGTTTCAGATAACCGATAGTCTGCGTTTCCTTCCTTCATTGTCATTTCGAGAACACTGCAGTTTCCAAAGATCCTTCGCCCACCTTTTTATGCGAAATTTGCATAAATTTGCAACGCGATTTAGCATTTGGTCCCGCACGGAAACTTTAGCCCGTGCAGCGGCTGCAGAAAAACTGACCTATCGTTAATCAATAACGTTTTCCTTTTTTGTCTATATCCAAGCTTAGATTTCCGGATTTCATTTTAAGAAAACTTAGTTTAACATATTGGTCTCAATGCATTCACCTTGCTAGAGAATATTGATTAAGTATGGCTTTTTAAAGGTTATTATGATCCGTTTTATCTTAATTCAAAATCGTGCTGGAAAAACAAGGCTCGCAAAATGGTACATGCATTTCGATGACGATGAGAAGCAGGTTCATTGATATCTTATATATAGAGTATATAGTTTTACTCTTTACAGAAACTCATAGAAGAGGTTCATGCTTGCGTAACAGTTCGTGATGCCAAACATACAAACTTCGTCGAGGTACCTCCTTCATGTCTAACTTGAGCTATCAACTAACTCTCTTCAGTTCCGAAACTTCAAAATTGTCTACCGACGGTATGCAGGTTTATATTTCTGTATCTGCGTTGATATAATGGATAACAATCTGTATTATTTGGAAGCTATTCATAATTTCGTGGAAGTATTGAATGAATACTTCCATAATGTTTGCGAGCTTGATTTAGTATTCAACTTCTATAAGGTATGTTCTTCCGTTTCCGTTTCTCATTCTATCCTCTACATTTGAGGTTTATTCCGTGGTTGATGAGATGTTCCTGGCTGGAGAAATACGTGAAACTAGTCAAACTAAGGTTCTCAAGCAACTCTTAATGCTCACCTCATTGGAGTAGTGCATAGTTGGCGAGTTTCCTTTGTATGTTCATAGGAAAGAGATTAATTTATAAGCATTTTACTTATCTATTTATTCCATGTATAGACTGCTTTTCATTGTAAATAGCATAATTCAAATATTTCTAACGAGCTAAGTTTTATATACTCTCTATTAATATTTAATGAAATAATTTTTTTCGAAAAATGGTTCTGATTTTTCATTTCGCATCAACAGTTCGGTAGTTTGCCCTGCGTAGCAAACTCATTTTCTGGAAACAAAACAGTCTTAGCGGTTGTGCATGCTTCATCTCTGTTGAAAGCATGCATTGAGCGGTTGTATTCATAGCTTTTCCGCGTTTCCTATATTTAGATCAACATCAGCAACCTTGCTTCTTGATGCAGATATTCAGATTTTTTGAAATGAATCTTATTGTGGAGAATAACATTCGAAGATGTACGAAAAGAAAAGGGTTGAATCTGTGTATGTACACTATAAGCACTTTATGTATCATTCTGAGGTGACGTGTTTGACATGAGACGAAAAGTTCCGGTTTCATTAGAAGGTAAACTTAGGTAGCGAAGAGGTGAAGAATGTTTTTTTTGGCAAACACTTTTTGGGGGGATAAATTCACATTGTCCCATATGTGGTATGAAAATGTTCTATGAATCACACAAGTTAAGATGGATAATAATCCACTTGAAAAACGTCAAAAGAACAGAGTAGAGGTCAAACCTATGACAGTTTATGAAACTCACTTAGCTCAGTTTATCGTGAATTATAAGCTGAAGGCATGCAAAGGACAATTGCTTTATCTGGTTATTGTATTATTTGTTGCTTCTTTATTGCAAATGCATCTATTATTATTATAAATCTATATATGGATAAGTGATAGATTCATTCTTTCATGAAAGCTCAAATTCTATTGGCATCGTTGAAATCCATCTATGAATTGACACAAAACATCCGCCATCGGCTGGTTCTGAAGCCATTTGACATTCCATGTCTCATGGCCTAAGTTTATTAGACCGTCAAATACGATCTTCCGAAACCTTCATCCTCAAAGTCTAAGTTGTTCAGTTTAAGCTTTGGTTCATAATTACTTCTTTCATAATAAAGTTTGGAGTGAATAACTATAATTCCTTATAGTTTTAGCATTTTAAGTATTGAAGGCAGAACCGGTAACCGTAAAGCCGATTACATGGCCGAATGATGCCATCGCCATCCACAACACCATAGCTTTACTTTGAAATAGTTTTATACTCTCAGCTTCAACAAGACCACCATGTTTCCTTTCTTGTTATCAACGTCTCGAAAGACTGTGTCTCGATCATAAGTTACACTCTCATCGACCTCAGATGGATTCCTGTCCCCTCACTGCACAGTTTTAGTTGAAAGTTCAGGTGACAACAACATTTTCGAGACTACGCAGATGCAATGATGGGTGGAGGAGATGATTCAAAATTATATGTAAACTAGATACAACCAACATCACCTCTACTCTTTTTCTGTCTACTCTCCAAATATGTCTCTTGTCAATTGAATTTTCGGAAATTGATCGAATATAGTACTGAGTTGAACATTTTTTACTTTTTAAGTTTCCTTTTATTAACCTCTAAGATTTGCATCTCAATCGTTTCCATCGTTTAACTATGATGTCCATGATGTCTGAATCATGCATAGTTCATAATATTGACATTCATTCATCTAAATTTGGTAAAAGTGGTCAGTTGATCGGAAGTACTCAATGACCCTCTGTTAGCTGTCCATACTTCTCATTCTTACTTTTACCTTTATAAATATTTGTAACCATTCTGAGTTAAGAACTTCATCTTTCCCAAAACGACAAGTGAAGAAGAAGAACTCAAAGACAACTCAATATTCTCAGATGAAAATGGTTTCCCCACGTGCTTTGATCGGCGTTTCTTTTTGCATCAGAATTTTCATTTTAGTAAGTTCTGATGGTTGTCTTCATATTGTACTCTTATCCTCTAGATACTATCCATTGTTGCAATGGTACTCATCTTAACAGCTCCTGGAGCTTGCTTCTCTCGCTACTTGAATGGACAACCTATCAGTCGTGAAATCTGTCCCGGACAGAATTCCATATTCCCTATGAATGCTGATAGATGGAATAATGCGTTGCATTTCCAGGGCCGTGGTCAGAAGTAACTAAACTTTCATGTAAATTTCATAAAATCATATTCAGCATATACGGTCAAGTTGCCCTCATAGTCATCACACTGGTGTTTGCTCTTATATCAGTTGGAGCAAGTTGTATACATCTAGCTGCTGGGTATAGCGTCATCTATGGGGTACGTTTCAGTTTTGGTGTTTCTCATTTGTGAGTTCAGAAAAATTTAATGATTCATCATACGTTTCATTGAGAGAGCAGAGAGAGAAAGATGAAGAGATAGAGAGAGAGAGAGAGAGAGAGAGAGAGAGAGAGAGAGAGAGAGAGAGAGAGAGAGAGAGATTCATTGTATGAGGATTAGCATATTAAATTTTTCCTTTTTTACCTTTTTTAGTTATAATTTATACATAAATCTAGCTGTTAGCAAGCTTGCCAATGAAAACTAGTTCAATTTCTATTAGGTAATAGAACATGAATCTGCTATTAACAAAAGTAAAAACCGGATATATGATGGATAAAGGTGATCTCCTCATATTGCGGGAACAACAACACATCAGCGACAAGAAAGTTCAAGCCTCATTCTTTAAGTTGTTGTGGTTGTCTTCTGTACTTTCTTAGCTCATCTCATTTATGACTGGTCATATTGAACTTGGTTATGGAACTAGTTGGTGTGCAAAACAGTTTTTATTATTATTCCCATATTAGCCATTAGTAATATCACCGGTTTGCATTATTGAAAAAAAAATGAGTTGAAATCAAACCATCAGGGAGTCATTAGATGAGAATCAAAAATATCTGTAAAAATGGAAAAGATTAATATGAAAACACATATATTGCAGCAATTGTTCGCATCCGGAATTGCTTTAGTTGCTTTCCTAGTTTGTGGAGGTGTTGAGACTTGGTATGCTACTGGATTTGATCATATGGCATTCTTCATACAAGTAATCTCAAGAAAAACATCTATTTCAAAATATGTTAATATACATTGATAGGCTATTGGAAATGGAGTATTTTCCGGATGTGCTGGTCTTCCTGGATGTCAAATAGAATTTGTTGTCAAAGGATGGGCTGTAGCAGCGGTAAATATTGCATTAAATCAGTCTAATGATTGAGAGGATATATTTGCAGGCATTTTTCTTCTTATCAGGATTACTATATCTCGTGGATATGCTAATTATATTCATGACACGTGATAAGTAGGTGATGATGATTATAATTATTTAAATTGAACAACCGTTTTGTGAGTATGCATGCACTCCATACGATGCACGTGAAACTCTCACGCTAATTCCACGTGGAATTTTGAAAATAAAAATTTTGAATAACATTGAACATGTTAAAGCTTTAACATTCAGCTTTTCATTTTCAGACGCACATCAGACACTTATCCGGTCTCTCGACCTCAGCACTACTAATTATTCTTCAGAAATAATTATATTGAATTATATAAAAGTATATAAATAATCAAAAAAGGTTGAGTTATAACGCTTTTGGGGGCTTAATGAGAATAATTTTCTTTTTTTTTCTTCTTTTCTACTTTGTAAGCTTCTGAAAAAAATTCTTTAATAAATGATATAATTGGTTGAAGATGTGCATTGCAGATTTGATACTGATGACACCTCAACTGTTGTTCTACGAAGTAATCGGAGCATTCGTCGATCCATGTAGTATGGAATAGCTAACTACCGTTTATATATTCAAATGATTCTTCTATCTTATCCCCCCCCGGTCATGTATGGTTGGTGAAAAAACTTTTCATACATTTGCCTTGTCGTCGTTTACTATATCTATATGCTATTGTTTTCCTTAACTATATATCTTATTATATTATCTATGTTGATATCTCTCTGTGTTGTATGTCTGTCTGTGTGTGTGTGTGTGTGCATGTGTGTTTGACATTTGTTGTAAAAAAAAATTTTTTTTTTGCCTTTCTTGGCTTAAAGACTGAAAGGCTTTCATTTGTTCAAATATCTTAGGTATTTTATAAATAAATTTTCAACAAAACAATTTAATTTCTCATTTTCTTAGAAGATTAAAGGAGATCAAGTCGTTGCTCTTTCGGTTTCTGCTTTTTCGATGATGAGAGAAGGAAGTTATGCAACTGTTGAGTTATATGTCACATTGTGGAATATGAAAGCTCGTGTTATGGGCATTACGGCTGGATTTTCTTTCAGTTTAAGCAGCAGGAATGAGTATGTAACAATGACAGAAACAAGCTGAAACATTGGAAATTGGATTGGATAGACAGACTGTCAGTATCAATCTTACGGTAAAGAACGTTGTACGTTCAAGTGGAAATGCTCTCCAGACCGTCATGCCCCACATGAATTGTGTTGACATCTTATGAACGAAGCATGATATCTTCAGAGAGAGAGAAAAAATATATTTTTACTTTAATTAATTAATTTTGGTATACCTGGAAACGATCTAAATCTGCATTTGCATCGGGTACAATACGAAGAACGGCATTGACAATCTGTCTTGTCTGCAACAGATTCAGAAATACTTAGATTGAATACTAATGAAATTGAAACCGTTTCATTTGTAGCCATTCCAGTTGAGCAAATTAATGAAATATGAAGAACAGCTACTACAACTTGAATTGCTGCCCAACATATGGTGAAATGAACACTTCGGGTTAAGAGAAATCTCGAATCTGGGTTTTTCATTTGTTCTGGAGTAATGGGTTCCAATAAACTGGAAAGTTTTTGTTATTTCTTCATTCTTTCTTATTCTTCTTCTTCTTCTTCTTTTTTTAATTTCAATTTTATTCTGAAATTACCTCGAATGTGGCTGGGTCATGAAGTATATGGTCAGACATAAGACGAGCATAGACCATGCTAGTGAGAAAAGAACAAACGGATTAAACACATTACCAATGGCCTCCTTAAAACAATGAAAACATTTATCTATATGTTGATAGATATATGATACTTGAACGTTTGTTATCCGCAGAAACTGTTCATAATAGAATTTGAGAGAGAAATGACGTTTCTGATGCTCCTTATTGAGGGATTTGATAAGAATTCTGAGAACAATGAACAAAAATGTAGATATAGATAGAGTGAATATGAACTTACTGACAGTAAAAACGAACAATTCTATTAAATAAATCATAATATAATAATGGAATAACATTCCATACAGTTAGTAGAGGGACTATAATGAAAGCCATATCCTGAATGAGACCCGTTCCTAAGCTGAAATGAGCATACATCATGAATTGTATGGTAGTTAACTAGAGATATATGCTATATATGGTATGCATGTCTATACCTTTGTTTTGTTACAAAAAACTCAATTATCCGAAATGAGAATGGAATCATGAAGGCTATTGATGTGATAAAGAAGAATACACATTTATATAAAGCTATTGGTGGTGAGAGATGAAAAGCACTTCGAAAGCATACATCAACTGCATCTAACGTCTGTAATGATTCAAAAATGAGAAAGTGATCGACGGAATCATTTGAAATTTATGCTAATTAGGTTGATGATTTTAATTAAATGAGAGAAAAGACACAAACCTTCAATAGTCGAATATGTTCTCGCATCTTCCATGTAAATAATGTAATGATGAAAGCATTAATCATTGGCTTGATTCCCGTAATGATACATGAGACTGTTGAAGCATGCATAAGACCAAAGCTTTTCTAATTTTCATCATTACAACACATCATATATGAAAATATGCAACAGTCTTACCTTGTAAGCTTGAATGAGCCAAATATTTTTATGTAAAAGATATGTATTGAATAGAACTGCTGTCACCGAATAGAAGAATAACATGAAATATTTCTGTAATAAACATGCAAACATAAGAAGCTTTTCAATTTCTACAGATAGCACAGAGACATCAGATGATGATCATCATCAGTCTATGCAATCTTATAGTTAAAAAAAGAAGAAATTCTCACAATTATTCTCTTTTTAGATCGTTTTCCGTTCTGACGAGCTCGTCTCAAACCCGGAAATAAGGCAATTAGTTGTAAAAACATTAAAATGTGTCTAAGATATCGAGATACACAAGTAACACCCCTGTTAAATAGATAAATAAATAATAATATGAATTGAAAGAAAAAATATTCTTTTCTCTCTCATGCTCCTTACCTCCATGAGCATTGCCTTGGACGCTTTTTCGGATCCGATCCCAATTCCGATACCCATTTGTCATCTAATAGTGACATGCTCAGTATGTTGTTGACAATGCTTCTCTGCTGACTCTATAAAATCTTATAATTACTTTTAAATATCCAATAATAATAAATAATATAAAAATATAAATAAAAAAAGAAAAAAAAATGTTAAATGAAAAATACGACAAACATTTCCATTCTGACGATGGTTATAATGTCCATTAATTGCCATATTCGTACTTTCTACAGGAGTTTCATCGTCCACCGTTAAAGATGCAGCCTTATTGAAAGGATACATCCTAGAACAAATTACAATTTTTTCTTTCTAAACTCTTATATAAGGCTTAAAAGGGTCAAATATGGATAGAGAGAGAGAGAGAGATAGAGAGAGAGATATGGAGAGATGAGTTTCATGAATGATAAAGAGAGGAAGATATAGAAGGATTGAGATAGGGAAGTAACGGATGATCTTTAAAGAATGGATGAAGCTACACTTAACAGAATATAAGAGAGAGAGATTGAGAGAGAGAGAAATAGAGAGATGTGATGAAAAAATGATGCGAAATATGGAAACTATAATTGCCCAAATTGTTCGATCAAGATATTAATGAAAAATGCTCTTAGTTGAACCGAAAAAATTGATGCTTATTGATGATGTCATATCTATATCTATATATAGAGGGAGAGAGATAGAGAGAATAAGGAAGAAAGTGACATATAGAGAGAGAGGAAGATAGAGAGAGGGAGAGAGAGAAATAGCCGTTTTGGAAGCAAAGTTTTGATGAAAAGGAAGAAGAAGTTGAAAAAAAGAAAAATAATTCTAATCAAGAGTTCCTCCCCTCTTCAGGCTGGGCTCCAAAAATGATTGAAAGAGAAATGAGCGCAATGTACGGAAAAGAAGAATGAAAAAGGAATACTGCCGTCAATGAAATTGCCTTCGAAGCTCATGACCAAAATACAACAGTGAGAGAGAGAAAAAAAATGTTTAAAATGAGCTAGAATAGATCTTAAAAACTTTCATTTAAGGCCCCAAAAAAGATTTTCATAGATTTTTATTGTAAATGTTGTTTGAGACGTAATTGAAGAAAAGGCTTTTTATGTTTGTGGATAAGAGGCAGGACGAGCTGTGTGCAAGAGATATTGTAGGAAAAGGAAAAACACTCAAAACTCATGGAGTTAAACGATTTGAAATTTGAAGCAAAAAATGGAGAAAAAAAAGAGAAAAGAGAGAGATAGAGAGAGGGGAGAGTAAGTATGAAAAGCTGAATATGTGTGTAAAAGGGAAGAAGATCTACAAGTACAGAAAGAAGAAAAACTTGTACGAAAAGGACACAATAGTGAGTTGGCTTCGCTTTCTAGAAAAATATTTTAGTAAAAATAGATGATTTACAAGAGATAATTGAGAAGAAGAGACAGAACCTATCTGGTAAGTGTAAATGATGATCATATATGCTAATTTTTAAATGACGAGCAATTGAATTTCATTTTTGAGCTTGTGATACACGTAGAGCGGTTGCATTCAAATGTGTGTATGTGTATGAGCGCGCGCAGGCAGCCCAATCTCAATGATCTTGTTCTTTGCTTCCACAAATGCATTATGGCATTTGTTTTTGGTACAAAAAACTTAACAATAATCACTTGGAGTATGAAAGAATGAGATCAAGTGAGATACAAATAGAAGGAGGTAGAAGGAGGAAGACAAGTGATAATGAGAGCAAAATGACATTGAGGGATTCGAAGATCTAAATGGGTTTTTGGTATATTTACGAAAACCTGTGTTCGAATTTAGAGAAGTGCGAAATGAGAATGTTGAGCTTCAATAGTTAATGGAAATCTCATTCTCTTGCTATCTCTATCTCATTTCCACCCTCCCTCTATCTCTCTCTCTCTGTATTTCTTCATTTCTCTCTATTCATTTGAAACTATATTTCTCATATTCTCTTTTGTAGTTTATTGAACAAAAATACAAATTAAAAATATATTTTTTAATCGAAAACTGAGAGCTTAGAGGAGATGATCAAAGAGGATAGTTGTTGCATGCGAAGTCAACTTGCATATTAGATTCATACAAGCAGCTTGAATCACATAATGTTCTTTTCTCAATTAAATTGAAAAAGAAACTTTTTTTATTTCAAATGAGCAGAATGAAGTCATTTCGATCCAACATGAGCCATCATCAGACGACGAACTTTAATTGACTGACGATGACATGCTCATCTTCTACTCCACTTGGCAAGAGTTTGATAAAAAAAAATGTGTCTATATATGGTATGAGAGAATGAAGATGAAAAGCTACTTGTCTCAGATATTAGTGAGATCAACGGCCAGCTTAGAAACATCTTTTTTTGTCTCTGTGTTTCGCGTCATATTCTGAGATGTTGAGAGAAACGAAACGAAATTGAAAGATATTCTCAACGAGTTCGAAGCGATGTCTGAGCTACTTCATCGCATCGTTCCTTTTTTGGAAAATTTTTTTTTCGAAAAATACAATAACAAGTCATTTTAATGATTTGGTCATTAGAAAATGAGCAAAAAAAAGGAGAAAAAAAAAGAAAGAACGAAAGAGCAAGAAGAAGCTGAAATAGAAGATAGGAGATGATGAGGATAAAAGTAGTTTTAAATAAGAACAACCGGTCATCATGCTTGAATATGCTGAAATGACGTTGAACGACAATAGTGCTGTGACGTGCTCTGTTCTCCTCTTCACGTAAATCCAAAATGATGATAACATCAAAAATTGAAAAGAAAAGGATGAAATAAAGTGCAGCGTTTGCAAGATAAGCTTGCAGTACTTGTATGAGGAGAAAGACTTTAGGAAAGTCATTGACAACATACTTATCAAATGAATGATAACACACTATGCATAATGTGAATCAGAAATGAAAAGATGAACAAGTAGTTAGAAGGAGCTGAATTAGAAAAAGATGGGAAAAAGAAGATAAGAGAGCAGAAGATGGCAAAATGAAGTTTCAAAAGTGGAGAAAAAAAATGAAAGGATGATAAACGATGTGTTAAAGATTATTGGAAATATACATATGTAGAAGTAAAGGAAAAGGGACGACGGAAGAAAATTGTAAAACATACATAGGAATTGGATGATATATATATAAAGAGGGAGAGAAAAAGAAATAGAGAGAGAGAGGAAGAGGAAAAAAAGAGGGACTAAACTGACTTTATAAGCAAGAGACGCGAGATGGACCGAAACACGAATGAAGATGGCTAGAGCAAAAGATATTCCAAAGTAATTCTTCCTCATTAACAGCCCATACTTGTTTCTACTTCCACATATCGATAGATATTCCATTTTTTTATAAAATATTTTCTATCTCAACTAATTAAATGAATAATGAGTAGATGAACTGAATGAGTCAATAGATGCCGTTGCCCAAACACGTGGTTTGTTATTTTGCATGCCAGTCATTACAAACTGCTCTGAACTTTGGCAACAAGAAGATGCGAAAAAGCAAAATTTGTTTATAAAAATATACAAATTCTACAATTGTCATAACCTTATATGGCAATGCTATTGAGCTTTCTTGCTTTTTTTTCGTGTCTTCGTACAAGCTTTTCGTGTTTTGTCTGTTAGCTCTCATGCAATGTCATGCTCTCCTAGCCCTAATAGTTCTCCTAATTCTGGAAGACTGAAATTAGCTTGAAATAGATAATTAAAGAACAAAAGCTAGAAATATTTTGTCTCTTTTACTTCTTCATCTCATATGAGCAGACGGGTGAACCTCATGAGCAGATATACTCTATGATGATGCTGTTAAGGCAATTATAGTTGAGAAATACGTGTCATATATTGTAAACTTAAAGAGAGAATGAAAAAGAAAAACAATTGATTTCCATAAAAGAGCATATGGATGCTAAGGAAACAAACTTTGTGTACGAGAAGAGAATTCATTGCAAAAATGCTTATATTCGTCTGAAACTGCACCGAATGAACAAAACAATTAAAGGAAAGTAGCTCAATTTGTGAAAAGTCACTGATCAGCTTAAGATCCAAGAGGATTTCTTCATCAGAGGTAATGTGCAAATTGATTTGCAAGAAAACAGAGTCAAATTGATTTTAGAAGATGTGTATGTGTGTGTGTGTGTGAGTCTGTGACTCTTAATCATGCTTTATCGGAAGAAATAAAACAAATTTTACAATTTCCACCAAACCCAAAAACAGAGACACACCACATACACACACATACACACACACACACACCTTTTATGGTATTTTGACGTTCAATCTGAGCCGTCGTTGATGAAAACGAAACGACGTAGAGGAATGGAAGTAAATGAAGAAAAAAAAGTTTTCTTTCTTCCATAAAACCTATTTGAATATTTCCAATTAAAAAAAAGAGTGAGAGAGAGGGGAGAAGGAAAAGAACTTTGCGAGTAAGCTGAGGCAGAGAAATAAACAAAAATATTAGCTTAAGCTTGTCCAAGTTTGACGACGCAAGAAATCCGAGGGAATAAGTGAAATTGAGCAATAAGAAGGATTGGAAAAGTAATTTTGTGGTCCAATTTAACAATGTTCATTTAATAAAGCGATCACGAAGAGAATATGAATGAAATTGAATGATTAAAGCATAATAGGTTAATTTAATCTTTCGATGGCGATATGCGACAAAATGAGAGAAAAAGCAGTATGAGAAAGTATGAAAGGAAGAGAGAGAGAGAGAGATAAAACCGAAAACGATACTTACATATATGGATTTGAAATTGATATAAGAATTAACTAAAGATCGAGAGCACATTGTTTCAAAGAATCATTTTCACTTCCTCTCCTTTCATATTCAATTTGTGAAAATGAAATAAAAAGTTTTTTTCTTTCTTTTTGACGTAAAATGTCAGAAAAAAAAAGTATTTTGAATACTCCGGATCCAGCTTCAAGGCTTTTCCATCAGAGTTTGTAGATCTTTGACTTATTCACGGGAACTGCAAAGAATAGAGAAATATCAAAAAGACTTCCATGAACTCGAGCGATTCCAAATTTTTGTGTTTTCCTTCTGTGTGCTGCACACATGCACGAAGGATTAAAAACTTTTTTTTTCTGGGAAATAGTGGATTGCAATAAGTTTACTCAAAAAAAATTTCAGACAGTCAGAGAAAAAAACAAACAAAACAAAAGATGAAAAAGGGTTTATCTCTGGCTCTGCACGGAAGTGTTTAAGACGGAGTTCATGAAACGATGAAACTTACTCGAAAACTCATGAATTTTTTTTTCACCTTGTCTATTCATTAGAACATTTGAAATGAAAAACAATGTTTTTTTTCTATAATTTATTACGTTGAGAGGTAGGAGGAGGTAAACGAGACAGAGAGAGAGGGAAATGAAGAGGGATGGAGGTAAAAATGGTAAAAAATCTTTTGTTTGCCTGAATTATAAAGTAAATTCAACTTGTGCCACAATAATACAATAAGTTCATTTGCTTGCTATGCTAATGAGATAAAGCTACGTGAGCGTGTAATGTATGTTTCACGCATTTTTCATTTTTTTCGTGTTGCAACGAGAAGAACGGTTGATTGCGCTTGTGCTTTTTTCCCAACTTCTATCCTCCTCCTTCATTTCCGCCTCCAATATATCAAAAAATAACTTTTTTTTTGTTCTTGATATTGTTTCTGCGTAATAGCGTATTTTTTTTCCTCCTCCCATATTACTCTTCCATACGTTGAAGAGATGAAGACAGAGCTGAAGAGGGAGAGAGAGGAAGAGAATGAGAGTGAGAATATAAATAATAAAACGTATTCTTAATATTCACAAGAGCTGCAGTCAATTGGTCTTAAAGTTATTTACCATACTGGTTATAAGAAATGTTTCGGTAAATATGAATTGTGGCTACGGATGAGCAGATAAGCAGTCACCAACTCAACCTTATTGATCAGTTTTTTCGTACTCACGAACGATGAAGAAGAACTTTCATCCGCCACCCACTGCACTTCAAAGTTCAAGAAAAACTTTTATATAAATTTCCGTTATATACGAGTTCGATTCTTTTAAAAATTTTGTTATTTTGTAATTCTCCATTTATATCTCTAATTACTCATCATATTTCTATAGAAAACTCCAGAACTAAATTGAATTTTGAAAATGTGGCGGAATTCCATGAAATATGGTGCCCTTTCTTCAAATGAGTATCAAGTTAAGCTTATTAGTAGTTAGTATCTGGAGGGATATAAACAACTTTAATTTATTTTTCAATACGAAGTTCATATTATCTTTAAGCACAGAGCAAAAAAAGCCATAACTATACATTGGAAACGTAATTATGCAGAGGCAGAATCTACCGTAGTGCACAGCAATAATTGCTAAGGAAATGTTTATTTGTGTCTTCTCTTCGTTTTTTACCACAAAGCCTTTTTTCCTACTTAACAAACTGGTAATGAACAGTTTTAACCATCAAACTTCATTATATCTGACCATCTCTGTCCCAATTCAAGGTTAAACACAAACTAATGGAGGATGATGAGAGAGGATTCATAGGTATGAACTGGTCGCTCATTAAACTCCACCCCTACCCTACCATCTGCTGACACAAACACTGATTGACGCACGTTTGGTGAAAACAGACTCCCATAACCTGTACGCGAGGAACCTCTCGCGACTTCCATCACTTGTGGTGGCTTTATTGAAATCTAAATAGTTTGGAAGTTATTTCTTCCGAACGTCTCCGGTGAAATCAATAAATATTACTTTTTCATTTCTTCTATTTGCCCAGAATGTTTGCCTATTTCTGTTTTATTTGCTGTTTTTTATGTCATCAATGAAAGTCCGAAGCATAATTTGAATACTTTCCAACTGAATTTGTTGATTATTATTTCTTTCCATTTAATGACTTCATTCTGTTTTTCTTAATTATTTTATTATTTTCTCCTAAAACCATGCTGATCGTCTCGTTTTTTCAGAAGTTGTTATGTACGTAAACTAGAGTTGCCTCGAAATGAATAGAACCTGGTCTATGCGAAAGAGCAAAAAACTAAAAAAAGATGATATAGGAGTTCCTTCTAATTTTCAGCATAGAATTCATGCCGGTTATGATTCAAGGACTGGAACGTACACTGGTCTACCCAAAGTAATTCGTTTTTGTTTTTTTTTCATTTCATTATCCTCTTTGTTCAGCAATGGCAAGCATTGCTCGGCCCACCAAGGAGCATATCTCGTCCAAAACCATTAGTTGACCCCTCTTGTATTACTCCTACCGATATGGCAGAACTGAAAACAGTTATCCGCGGATATGGAGATGGTTCCAGGTACGTATATATCTTTCTCTCTCCCCTTTTTTCTGAGAAACAACCGGTCATTTCGCTTTTGAAAGCCAAAATGATCGCCGCACGTCATTTTTTCAATTTATTCTGATTTGTTACGTAAACGTTCGCGTGTTTCAGAATGAACACACCTGTTCCATCTGTATCCAGCAGCAATACATTACGGAATTCCAATCACAGGGGAAATGGACATGTGAACGAGTAGCTTTTGGAAAACAATTATTTTTATTTATCTATCATATTTTCAGTTTGTCATTCGGGTCTAGACCTCCTTCGGTTCAACAATCATGTGTTGTAAATAAAGCTTATCAGAGCAGCACACTAGGTCGAGTATGTTTTCCATTGGAATAAAAAAGCTTTATGGATTTTTTTGAAACAGGCATCTGTTAGAGGTTATCCTTTTAATGATCCCGGTTACTTGCCGTTGCCGATGAAAACAATAAATGATAATAGCCCGAAACAGATTATTACGACATTCGGAGTGGTTCGTTCTCTTCTTCGTTTAAACTTTTAAAGCTTTTTTCCTGCAGGAATCTAATTCAAACCACATAGAAAAGTATTCAGTACAACCTTCTTACAATCCAGACACATTGCAAAAACAACAAATAGGATCCAGACAAGCTGCTGAGTCACAACATGTATCACCTGCAAAAGCAGGGGGCATCAGTTATGAAGAAGTAATTAATTACCAGTCCACCGTATATATTAAGCTTTGATTTTTTCAAGTTCCGAGATGCATTACGGAAAGTTGTTTCGCCATCTGATCCACGTCCTGATTTAACTGATTTCAAACAAGTCGGCGAAGGATCTACAGGAAATGTATCTGCTGCTTACAAGGTTTGTATTCATCCCTCCATATAGTAACCCCCTACGCATTGTGCAGATCTCGACTCGTCAAATTGTCGCTGTTAAGCGAATGAATTTGAGAAAACAACAACGTAGAGAACTTTTGTTCAATGAGGTTTGTCTTATGATATCTAAACTTAAAGAGTTTTGGAATTTGTAGGTTTCTATTATGCGTGATTACCAGCATCCTAATATAGTTCGCATGTATTCATCCCATTTAGTAGATGATGAACTTTGGGTAGTTATGGAGTTTATGGAAGGAGGCTCGTTAACTGATATAATAACACAGACTAGGTATTCATGAGTTGACCTTACCAAAATCTTATTCGTTTTCAAGGATATCCGAGGCTCAAATTGCTACTATTGCACTCCAAGTGCTTGAGGCTTTGGACTATCTCCATTCGAGACATGTCATTCACAGGTTCGCAAATGTCATCTCCAAATATTCATTTCCTTCTTTCTATACAGAGACATTAAAAGTGATTCAATATTATTGAAACGTGACGGAATAGTGAAAATTTCTGATTTTGGCTTTTGTGGTCAACTCTCCAAAGAGTTACCAAAACGTAGATCGCTCGTAGGCACCCCCTATTGGACAGCAGCTGAAGTATGATTCTTTATAACTAGGATTCTATATTTTTCATAATTCAGGTGATCGCACGACAACCTTACGACACATCTGCTGATGTTTGGTCTTTCGGAATAATGTTGATTGAAATGGTTGAGGGTGAACCTCCATATTTCAACGAGCAACCTTTCCAGGTGTGTAAAGTGGAAAGTTTGATTAATTTGATTGAATTATTAAGGCAATGAAGATTATCCGAGATCAGCCACCGCCAAAGTTCAGTCGTAATGCAAATGTAAGCACGGAAGCATATAAGATTAATTAGTGTTCCCTTCAGGTTTCCCCAGAATTGGATCATTTACTATCACGTTGTCTGGTGAAAGAAGGAACTCAAAGAGCTACAGCTGGTGAGCTGATAAAGCATCCATTCTTCAGGAAAGCTCAACACTACTCAACTATTGCTCCTTTAATTCATACTCTTTAACTTTACCTTGGTACTGCTTTACCCACGTTTGCCTGAATAGTTCTGCCCTCTATCAGCGATAGGAATTAGCTTGTCAGAGATAAGAACGCCTTGTTTTACCTCATTTTATAATTAAATAACTTATTTTTTACCGGTGCTTGTGCCTTTTGTAAATAACTCTTCACAGTTCCGATTGTACCATCATGACGTTTTATTTAGAATTTTACTTCCTGAACGGGTCACTCTTTTGAGTTTTCGTAATATGATCGATTCTTTCTGATTTGAAATCTCATCTACAAATCAGCATAATGTGTATCTTTAATCTGCGAGTTATTCTTTCATTGTGATGTCATCACATGTCTTCGATTGTGGCTTTTACCTTAGCTTCACCTTCATCTTGCCTTTAATAAAAGTACGAGGACAAAGTCTTTATTAGTCACTTGAAACTTTCTCTCGTGGAGCACATTGAGGAATAGACTTATGTGCTCAATCTTTTTCCCAATTTTTAGTTTTTAACAAACACATGATTGAAAGGCTTCATTTATTGTATGAATAAGCCATGAATTCGAGTCCATCAACCATTCAGCTCGGAAGCAAAAAGACTCTTTCAAGCAAAAAATACAAACGGGAAGCAGACAATGGCAGCGAACTTCTTTCATCGAAGGTAAGCGACTGTAAATTCTTTTGTTTGCAGAAAATATTTTTCATCCCTCTAATCAAATTCCTTATGCGACAAAAAAAGGGCGGATGATTGGGTTGGTGCGGGGATAGATAGATGGATGGGTGAATGGTGTGGGGGTGGATGATGATGAGACTGGGGTGAGAGGGAGGAAAGAGTTCTTGAAGAATGTCCATATAAGTATGTAAAACATTCTTTGTTTAATAAACAATCCCATTTAGGACGTAAATAAGGCCCTTTTTCCTATTTATGTTATGGATATCCCAACGTACACGCCTTTAATAGAAAAAATAATAATAAAACGTAATATTACTTACAAAAAATTTTTTGTCATTGACAGCTTTTCATACTTGGTAAATAATTTGAAGATGAATTTTAGAGGAAAAGAGAAATGTAGAAGAGGTTTAGGAGGAAAAAATGTTTGAACATCGAATGATAGAGATTTGGAGCAAACAACTTAGGAAAGCTTAAGAATTGAAATCGGGGGATATGAGATGGATGATAACAAATGCAATAATGAAGTTGCTGATAATGTGGAGATGTTTGGCGGTTATGGAAAGTCTAAAAAAATAAAGTTTTTTTCGTCTCTTTCAGCTATTTTTCCGTTTGTCCTTGGAATTTGTTATGAAGAGAAAAGTTAGACGATGAAGACCAGGATATACGAAAAAAAAAACATTTTCTCGTCTTTCATTCAATTCCTTTTCTGTTGGATATGTTGACTTTCATCCTCTCCCATGCACCTGAAAGTTCAATGTTATGCAATTGAAATTCATAGATGACGGATGTTGGGATGATTTGATGGTAACGTCATACCACAGCCTTTCTTGCTCATCAAACTTCAATACATCTGATGAGCTTCTCAGCTTCTCAACTTTTTTGTTTCTTGTGTTCTGTCACTCTTCAGAGAAGTCTCTCCTTCCGTCTCGTTCTATAGCTTAACATACAGAATGCATTTTAAATCATGTATGTCTGCCAGTTACCGCTTTTCATTTCAACCGCACTCCTCATCCTCTGATATTCGTTGAGCTAAAACAGTTCATAATCAATAGCGATCCTTCACTCTATCCTTCCTTGTTCCTCAACCATGCTATCAACAAAAACTTTTTGTCTTTGAAACTTTATAAAAAGAATCACGACAGCGGAAATGAACCCAACCGCTCTGTACTAACGCACGCCACCAAATGATGCGTGTTTACAGAAGAAAGCTCATTAGCATATTATATTAAATGAATTAGTCGTTTCAAATCCGCTATTCTTCTTCATTCGAAACAATTGTCTTCCCTTACTCATCCGAATGGAACGAAATATAATTCATTTTTGTTAATAACCTCTTCATATCTTAGGACTATGTTTTCAATAGTTAAAGCTCATTAGCTATTCATGTTCCTGTCATTTTTCACATGCTAAACGAGTATTAAATGGTTAAGAATATATTTAGAATTTCCCCTCAAATGATTCGTTTCATGCTCTCCAGTTTTAAAAAATGAGTTCAACCTGTCATTAGCGCAACGAACGTAATGAGAGCATTCGGTTTAGAAACATCCAAAGTGGACAGCGAGAGAGAGACATACAACATGAAGAGAGGAGAATATATTATGTTCAGCTCTTCCATTTTATTCATTTAATGGCTTCGCCAACCTGCCCTCTTCTGTTCTTGAATATTCTAATATAAGTATTAGACGTAGAGAGAAACAGAAGTTCATGAACTCATAATCACTGTCACGCTTTTCAATCAAAACTGCTTTTCTCGTGAGTCCTAAACTTAGACAAGCACATACACAACACACACACACACACACACACATACACACACACACACACACATACATATCTCTGTTTGTGATATGAAAAAATGAATAACTTATTTAGTTGTTACAAACTGAAGCCAAATGAATTGAAGTGTCTCCTTTACGAAGGGAAATATTTCAATGAAATTTTTGATCTGGAAACCTTTGGGCAATCTATTATGGTCGCATAAGCTGTTTTGACGAAAGAATATTGTAAGATTGAAGTCTGTTTTAAAACCTTCTCCTTCTCCAATCTAATATTCATGAGGAAACATTTTGAGATTCTTACATAAAAGAAACTTATTTTAAAAATCTGATCACCACATCTTTACTTTCGCTTTTCATTGTGTGTGAGTAATTCGTTTAAATATTTCATTTACAAAATTAACGAAGAAAATGAAGCAGCAGAAGCAGAAGGAGTAGATGAAGAAGAAGAAGAATAAGTAGGAGTATCAGTGTGTGACGAGAAAAAAAAAACTTCCTGTTTAAATTAACTATTTTTGAATCAATCGAAGCAGAAAGATAGAGAGAGCAAGAGCAAGAGCGAGTCTTGTTTTGAAAGAGCCATTTATGAAACATTTTCTTAATTGAGTTTCGATGACGATTTACATTTTCTTTTTTTTCCGCTTCCCGATAGGATCCTTTATCAAGTCATTTGCATTTGAATGATGTCATTCTGTTACGTTGGTCAATAAATTTTAAAAAAGATATTATTCGAATGTTTATTTTAACGGAGGAAATTTAAATTAGTAACAGAAATTGCTTTGCATATGTCCAAATGTAAGAATGACATTTCAAACTGAAGCAATAAGATCCAACTATCGTTTGCTATGAATGCGAAGCGTGACAGCATTCAAAACTTCTAATCATTTGATCAATGACATCATTCGAACTACATCTCCTTCTTAGTCTTCTTCTTCTTCATCTCATTTTTTTATTTTTAAAAATGACGTTGTATGCTAATCCCTATCAATCTCGCGCGCTTTTTCATTTCACGTGAAAGACGTGGAAGTAACTCATTCTCACATGCACATGCATATACAAGCTCAAACTAGACAGACGCTCACGGCTGGGTTTTTCTTGGTGTCTCCAATCAATTTGCTTTGTTTTAATAATCTTACTTCATTTGAATAATTAATGTTTTCAATTGTTTTCTTCTCCTCCTCCTCCTCCTCTCTTTCCCTCTCACTCCCTCCCTCTCTAAGCTATATCCGAGGATTATGTTTTCTTGATATTACTGATATTTTTAAAACATATTTTTCAATTTTACTGGAAAAAGAAAAAAAATAGGTCTGATAGAACATCTATTTCAATATTCATTTCTAGCTTGCACCTTATAGAGGGTGATCGCTGTTGTCTAGCTATTTTTCGGTTTTTGAAGCGATACGCAATGAATGAGAAGTCTGGAGATTCTTCCATTTCAACTTCCCTACTTTTCACACAGCTTTTTGTCAGCTCATTCTAGTTAGCTCATCTTATTTCTTTTTCCCTCTTGTGTTTCTTTACAAGCTGTAAACGAGACAGCTTCATCTAAATGTTCTTAACTACTTGCTTTTTTCTCGTTTGAATTTGATTAATGTTGCATATTTTGCTATAATATATACGATTTACTTTTATGAGCTTCTTCGCAGCAAGTGTCTCCTCCCCTTCTTCCATCCTTTACCTACTTATCATTCACTTATTATTCTTCCAGCTACAGTAGTTGTAGAGTAGAAATATGTGAAATATATCAAGAGAAAGAGAGAGAGAGAGAGAAAGAGATAGTGAGTAAGAATGAGATAGAGAGAGGAGAGATGAAGGACGGGGGGTGAGAAGGAAAAGAAGAAGGTGGCTGGTGCTTCTTTTGAAAGAATTGTCAGAACCTTCTTAATCGTCTTCTTTACGTATAACGTCATGCTGAAAAAGGATGGAGATGGCGTGTAAAAAGAAATTACTGCTGCAACGGCTATCTAAAGGCTTTCATTCAAGTCAACTTGCTGAAAAATGACAACAACGAAGACGATGATGTCGTGAAGGAGGAGAATCAAGGCGTTATCCGTATATGTAGAACGGAATGATTAAAACTGAGGAGGTGAGAGATAGAGCTGACGAAGGAAATCGAATTAGAGACGATGATGTTTCTCATATGGATGATACTTAGGACTATAGGTGGATAGATAAAGTCAATCATTCCTTCTTACGTCATATCAAAAAGCTTCAAACGTTGTCTTTCATTCGTGAGACAGCTGTGTTATAAATGGAAGAACTTACTTTAGCCAATTCTTCTCACTGAGTTGATTCTAACTTTTCCACCCCCTCGTTCACTCATTTCATTCATCAGTATATCGTGCTCTTGCTTTTCATGGCTTTGCACCCAACCTCACTTCCTGCTACCTCTCAAGAAACAAGCTGAGTACAATCCATTTAGCTTTTGTTAAAACTTGTAGTTCAAATACAAAATAAAGTTCCAGCTTCTTTTTTTCTTGCCGTTAAAGTTGTCGTAACCCTCCTCCTACTTTCTTCTCCTGAAGCTTCACGTCATTCTTCCTTGTTTATCCTGTGGTCCCTCCATATAC